CAACCGCGCTTAGCGCGGTATACTTCAACTTTAAACCAAAACTGTTTTCTGTCACTTGCAAAAAAAACAGGGCGGATACCCTTGTAAGGGTATTCGCGCCGACAATGCGCCGCCACGTGGCGCCGTCAGAATCTCCAAACCCCCTCCCCTGCGGCCGCCACGTGTCCCCGAATGCGCTCGTCCGCGGGGACACGTCCGCGGGCTTCGCGGCCGCGGACTTGGCCACGCCTATCCGCCACCGGGGGGGATTCACTGTCCACAACTACCATCAGGAGGTGAAGAAAGTCATAGATGCGGCTCAAGGTAGCTGGGAAAGGTTCAAGGAGGGGATGCAGAGGAAGTACCGCTTGGGAGACGGGCTATTGACTACCGCAGACCTTGAGGCGATGAACAAAGAGGATTTTACGACAATAGGGGCCTTTGTTCAACAAATTTAAGAAGAGAGCGCAGAAGGTCCATGAGATTTCGGAGGAAGCACAATGCGCCATCTTCCTGGGGCTACTCACGGCATCGGAGGCCGTCGAGTTGACGAGGCATGGAGGAGGTAGCACTAAGCTCACCTGGGCCACCATTGAGAGAGGGGTGGAAGTTGGGTGTTTGGACTAGGTGGAGCAACGTCAGGTACGCCTGCGAGAAAGGAAAGAGATGCGACTGCTTCTGGGGACCCCGGGGGTAACAAGGATTGTTAAAGACGTGTTGGCACAGCTAGGGTATGCGACAGAGCCGGTGGTGCAAAGGAGGGTGGTGACGACTGTCAAAGTGAAAGGAAAGGAGCCGGTGATAGAGGAGGCTATTCAGAAAGAGCTCTGGGAAGAGGAAGAGCCGGTGCCGGAGCACATGACGAAGGTCCAGCGCAAAGTGCGTAATTTGGCGCATGGCGGACAAAGATCAGGAAAAGCGCAGGCGCCTCAGGCCCAGACAACAACCCCTTTAAATGTGGTGGCCCCATCATCTAGTACGGCCCCCTCGCAAGGTGGGGCGCCCTCCTACGGACAGTGGCCCTGGCCGGTGATCAATGCAATTGTGCCATGGGGAAGCCCGCCGCTAGTAGCCGGACCGCGAACGAGTATGCCACCACCCATCTACCCCGCGGCCCAGGCCTAGCCTGTGGCCCCGCCACCGTCACCTGCTCTCAGTTCACAGGGCAGTGTTGCAGGAGGTGGGAACCAGGGGTAGGGCAACCAAGGCAACGGAGGGAGGGGTGGGGGCGAGGCAGGAATGGCGGCGGAAGAGGAAGGCAATGGAATGGTTAAGGCCAGGGGTACCAAGGCCAAGGAAGTCAAGGCCAGGGGTACCAAGGTCAGGGGTACCAAGGCCAGGGGTACCAAGGCCAAGGAAATCAAGGCCAAGGGTATCAAGGCCAGAGGGATCAGGGAAGTCAGGGGTATGGAAGACCCCGTTTTCACTCGAGGACGGTCATCTGTCAACATTGTGACCTGCAAGGCCACACTATAAGGTTCTGTAATATAAGACGGGAAGATGAGAGAAGTGGACTCATTGCCTCCACTATGGATGGGAATATCTACGATCAGTTTGGGGAGACCATTGACAGAAGGCTTGGAGGAGTGAGGGCTGAAGCCCAGCGAAGAGCGGCAGCTGGACCGCCACCCCCTGCCATGTTCAGGCTATGGCAGGAAAAGGAGGAACCACCGATTGGGGTAGAGGAAGTGGGGAGCGATGAGGAAAGGGCTCAAGGGCTACGAGGAGGAAGTAAGACGGAAGAACCCATAATCATCGAGTCAGATGACGAGGATGAGGAGGAAAGAATGGAGCCTCCGTCCGTCTTATTTGGGAAGATGGAGGACCTGCTGGATAAGATAGGGAGGTACCAACAGAAGTTGGTGGGCCTCTGTGAAGAAGTGAAGGGAAGGAGGTCTAACATCCCTAAAGTGTTCCTCTATGACTCCGGCCCGGAGTCGGCGCCTCGGCGACCCGGAGTAAATGTGGTGGGATTGTGCCCACAATCGGGAAAGAGGGGGAGGTCCCTCACTCCGCAGGCCCGGCTGGCACAGGCAGCGAGAACGAGGAATCAAGCCAAGGCCAGTGCCAGCCAAGAGCCTCCGAGGAGGGAACCCGAACCAGGGAGAAGGAAAGAGGCTGTGGAAGTAGAGGACGATGATGATGAAGAGGAAGAGGACGAGAGGCTGCGCAGTTAAGAGGATCAGAGAACGGAGCAGCGGGCGAGGAAAAAGGGAACCAGGGGAGAGGCCGAGCCAGTCATACGTGATGGACCACCCAAAAAGAAGAAATACATGGTTTGGTTGGAAGAGGGATTTGACGTAGAAAGAGTAATTGACAGACTGCTGGAAGGGCATAATGACCTCATGACCCTGAAGGAAATCCTAGCGTCAACCCCGCGACTCCGCGATGAACTGAAGGGGAGATTTTCGAGGCGCCTGGTACCCAATGTCCATCTGGGTACGATCTTGCCCAAGGAGGCTAAATGGGCAGAGTCGGGGACGAAAATGGACTGGAAGTGTGTAGCCTGCGGCACGGTGGATTTGGTGGGGAAGGGTTCCAAGTGTGCGGCAATGGTGGACACCGGGGCCGAAATGAACATCATTCGGGCGCAATCAGATTTGGGCCGGATATAGACCGTTCAGACTGCGGTATTCTGCACGGAGCCAGCTGCAAGGCCGTTTTTTGTGGGACAGCCTCGAATGTGCTCATCGAGGATGGAAAGGTGAAGGCCAGGACATGCTTCTTCATAATGCCGGACGTGGACCATGGAATCCTCCTACGGAGGTCATTCCTAAGCAGGACAGAGACCGTGATGTTCAACAAACATGACGGGACTCTAATCCTTCTCTTATGTGATCCCGCCTGTGGGAATTACGAAATAATTACCTGCAGGAACACCGGGTCAAGGAGTATAAGGAACCGGCCCAATCCAGGATCATTCACAATCGAGGAATCGGAAGGAGAGCGCCCGAGGCTCTAGGCAGAGCCCGAAGCAGGAGAGAGGGTAGAAGCGTTCTCCCTTAGCCTGTCAGATATTGGGAAGGCCATGGACTTGGTGGCCGCGCATGAGATGGCGGATCCGGATGCCATCCTGGCTTTGAGGGAGCAAGTTCTGGAATGCCCCGAGGCAGGAAGGTTGGAATTGGTATATCGGCTCCCAGGCAGCGGAGGGAACCCCGCATCAGCGCAAACGCAATCTGTGAGTCGGCCTTTTTTAGGGGACGGATCAAGCAGGGTTCCCAAAGGCGGTACAAGATGGTAGATAAGAAGTGCCGTCCGGTTCCTGTCCTCGTCACAGAAGACGAAGAAGCATATTACGAAAGAGAACGAGGGATGATACGGCGAATGAGGGAGAGTGCTTTAGCAGGACCATGTCGTATCAACGAAGAGAATGAAGGGGAGTTGATTATAGGGGAACCCAACTTCCTATTGCCTCAAGAGCGAACATTGGTGGTGGGATTGATGAAGAGGAGGCACCGCGCCTATGCGTTTAGTGACGAGGAGCTTGGCAGGCTGGATGTGGACAAGATACCTATGATCCGCATCCACACCGTGCCACACGAGCCTTGGAACATGAGAGGGGCGCGATACCCCAATCCTGACGAGGAAAGGAAGGTGGTGGATTACCTCGACGGCAAAATACATACGCACGTCGTCGACTATTCTAGTGAACCATATGCGTCCCCGTGGTTTTGCTTCATTAAGCCTAACGAGACGCTGCGATGGCTGCAAGATCTGCAGAGGTTAAATGCGGTGACCGTGCGAGATGCTGGAGGACTGCCAAATGCGGATGCTTTGTCGGAATCCTGTGCAGGAAAACCTATAATTTCGCTTATAGACCTTTACTCAGGATACGATCAGTTTTTGTCTACCCGCCACACAGGCCTGTGACGGCTATGCACACGCCGCGAGGATTAATCCACATGAATGTGGCCCTTCAAGGTTGGACCAACGTGGTAGCTATGGTCCAACGGGCCATGATTCGGGTTATGCAGTCAGTCAGCCCCCATATTACACAGCCATACATCGACGATTTGGCGGTGAAGAGGCCGACAGTAAAGGAGAGCGACGAAGTCTCGCCAGGGGTAAGGCGCTTTGTTTGGGAGCACATCCAGGACCTCGAAAAAGTCATGAGCCTGCTCGAGGAGCATAACCTAACGGCAAGCGGGGCCAAATCCAGACACTGTATGAGGGAAACGACTATTTTGGGGTTCATCTGCAGCAAGATGGGCCGGAGGCCGGATGTGAAGAAAACGGACAAGATTACTGAGTGGCCGGTTCCGTTCCACTCAATAACTAATGTCAGGAGCTTCCTTGGTACGTGTGGATTTTGGAGGACCTTCGTCAAGAACTTTGTCGCTAAGACTGAACCCCTAAGGAAGTTAGTCCGTCAGGATCAGGAATAAGTATGGGGTGAAGAACAAGAAGAGGTGGTGGCAAAAATGAAGGAGGAATTTCGAGAAGGAGGGTTGGTGTTAGGAGTGCCAAATTATGACGCCACAGAGACGAGACCTTTCATTGTCGAAACGGATGCGGGACCGACTGCCCTAAGGGGAGTTCTAATTCAGGCAGAGATGGAAGGAAAGGAAAGACCCTTGCGATTTGAGAGCCGGACTCTCTGTACGACGGAGAGGAACTACTCTTAGTTCAAGAGGGAGACTCTTGCCGTCCTCCATTGTCTGCGAATCTTCCGGAACTACATCTTCGGCAGAAGGTTTATTTTGAGAGTGGATCCGGCCGCCCTGGCCTACTCTCTAAGGAATTACGTTCCATCGGATCCGACGGTTGTTAGATGGCTGACGTACATCTGGATGTTCAATTTCGAATTGGAACGGATACCTGGTAGTAAGAACCGGGCGGACGGGCTTAGTAGGATCAACTGGGATAAACAGACAGGGGAGGCGGTGGAGAATACGCCCCCAGTTGATGGATTTCTAGATCAGGGAGAAGATGTTCGTCTCCACATTAACAAGTGGTCGCCGCGAGTGCACAGCTGTGTAGGTTATCCTATCTGGTAAACGCCACGTGGGTATGAATGAAGGGATGAGCTAGTCCTTAAGCCCTTTGAGGAAGAGGATCCCTAGGGCGGTAAGGACGTTCAGTGGATGATGGAATTAACGCTGGTCAACTCGCATAGCCTGGTGGAGTTCATGAGATCAATTGAAGAAGGACCAGGTTTGGTAAAACAGCATGAGGACCTGATGGGAGGCATGTATCTCCTCGTCAACACGTTATTGCAGAAAGGCCTCGACCAGTCAGGCTCGTTGAACTCGACAGGAAATGTGGACGAAGTGCCCGAGAGCGAAGACGACGAGTTCGAGGAGGGGGAGATTAAGGAGGTTTTTCGTGCAGAGGAGTACGACGGGATCTACCTAGAGCTGGGGCTTCTTCTGTTATGTGAAATGCGGCTAAGGGATGCAAGCGATAAGACTCAGAGGATGCTGCAGCGCTACTTAGTGCGAGACGACCACCTTTTCGTGAGAAGAGAAGTGGGGAATCCCAGGCTGATCGTCTGCGGTAGGAATCGTTAGATCGACGTCATAGCAGTGCTTCACGATGGCATTGCAGGAGGGCATCGAGGGGTACATGCTACGTATGCCAAGATAAGTGAGCTGTAGTATTGGGATGGAATGATGGACATGGTCGGGAAATTCTGCCGAGCTTGCGTACTTTGCCAGGAGAGATCCCGTTTAAGGCAAGGAGAGTCGTTGCATCCAAGGCTAGATCGAGAGGTGGGGGCTGTAATGCATCTCGACCTACTTTTTATGCCGCTTGGGGATCAAGGCTATAATTATATCTTCGATGCGCGCGATAACTTGTCTGGTTTCGTAGACGGGCGTGCTATTTGCACCAAGACCGGGTTAGTCTTAGTAAGCTGCATCGAGGAATATTACCTGCGTTATCCTTTCGTCAGGGAATTCGTAATGGACAGGGGATCAGAGTTTACCTGCCAGGAGGTGCAAGAATTGTTATCAAGGTATGGAGTGGCAGCCAACTACACCACGGCCGCGCACCCCCAGGCAAATGCTCCCGTAGAGAGAGGACATAGTACCATTACGAGCCTCCTAGCTAATTGGACCGAAGGTAGGCCTAATCAATGGCCAAGGTACCTAAGGGCGACGTTCTTTGTCGAAAACATTACAGGAAAAAGATCTACCAAGTACGCACCGGCGACACTATGGTATGGAAGGCACGCCACCTTCCCTATCGAGAGCTTTCTTAAGACATGGAGGCGCCAGGATCTGGAAGTTAACCTGCCATTTGAAGGGTTGCTCGATATTCGGGCGCGGCAGATAGGGGCGATAGAAGAACGGATCCAGGAGGCGTCTGATTAGGTGATGAGAAGCCGTATGGACGATAAGGCTCGATGAGATCAGTTTGCGCGGGTAAGGAAAGTACCCTTGGCAGTTGGGGGTGTCGTGCTTCTCTACGATTCATCACTAGAGAAACAATGGTCCAGGAAGCTCGATAAGAGGTGGTTAGGTCCCTACCGGATCGTACGGGTCGAAGATTTCGGAGCGTACCAGATTGAGGAGTTAAATGGGACTGAGTGGAAGGATTGGGTATCTGGAACGCGACTGAAGAAATTTGTGGCGAGAGAAGAGGTAAGAGAGGTGACCTGACTGCCTTTGGAATAAAAGTAATAGGGTGTGTAAGGTTAGATAGGATGCATGCTGCATGAGTATGGCCTGGTCTGAGCTTGCTTTGATTATCACCTGTTTTGCTTACCCCAATGTGTGCCTGTTGTCTCCTTCGCCTGTTGTGCAGGTCTGACTTTACGAAGACAGCCATGCCAAGAGGAGGGAAGGGGACACGGCCGCCTCATAGGCCGTTGGGCGCATCAGGAGGATATGAGCGGCATGGGCCTCGCCATCGAGAGAGTATTCTGGTCTACAATGATGGGGACATCGAACTATTTTTGGACAGTTTCTGGGAGCATGCGAGGCGTATGGGCTGGACCGTGGCTTAGGCGATTGAGAGATTGAGGGGAGCAGGCAGGTTCGAGGAGCCCATTGCCAGGATTCGTAGGGAGGCGACGACGAGGCAGGAGGTGGAGATGAGGATGGAGGAGTTGCGATCCTCGCCTGTGGGACCAAATTGCAGGCCGATCCGCCTGGAGATTGGAAATGCGTCGGACTTCATCCCCGCGTTTGAGTGGTTCATGCAGGGGAAGGGCATACCGAGAGATGATTGGATGCAGACGCTACCACTCTGGACCAGGAAGGCGGAAAGGCCACTGGCTATGCAGATCAGGGACATGGCACGAGATTGGGAGAGCTGCAGGGCACATCTGAGAGAAGCCTTTCGACGGCCTGAGCCCCCTCAGCCGAGAGTTGAGAGGCGTCAGAGGAGTCAGAGGCAGAGGGACCCTGAGCCCAGGGAGGCGAGACCATCTCGAGGAGGACGGAAGGCCCTAGCCAGGAGAGAGGAGGAGCCAGAGCAGGAGCCAGAGGCTGAGGAGCGAGGGGTGTACCGGTTGGGACCGGTGGAGTTCCATCGTTTTACTGAGGGTGGATTGAGGAGATCGCCAGCACGCACTCAGGAGGAGCCGCCAGCATCTGAGGGACCCTTGAGGGAATTGGAAACGTATTTGGATATCTCTCAGTAGAGAGCGTCGCTTCCGGGCGAGGAGCATGGAGAGGAGGCAGAGGAGGTGCCACAGGAGGAGGTGCCATGGGAGGAGGTGCCACGGGAGGAGGTCCAGGGTACTTAGCGAGAGAGAGAGCTGGGTGATGAGGGGAGACGTGCAGGGAAGAAAGTGATAGAGGTTGGAGAGGACACGCCCCCACAGACGCCAGCAGTGGGTTTGAGACTTGGGGATGCACCAGGGAGCACCTGGCAGGCAGAGGAGAGGTTGCAGAGTGAGGAGGTCCCTTTACCTTCATCAGGAAAGGCTCCTTCGCCAGAAAATAGGGCAGAAAGGAGGAAAGAGAGGGCAGCTGTAAGGAGAGAGGCCTTGATCTTGATTGACAGGCACCTAGCAGCTCATGCCCTGGAGCACCCAGACTTGGAGGGGCCAACACCTGCAGAGCTTCGCCAGGAGCCGTGCCAGCCCGAGAAGGAGATGGAAGCAGAGATCCCAAAGAGGGTCGACCTCCGCATGAGGGAAAGGGCGCCAGCTGGAGAGACGGCTGAAGAAAAGAGGGCGAGAAGAACCAGGCGGATAGATGAGATATGGCAGGAGAGGCAGAGGTTGGAGGCAGCGGGGGAGCTTCCGGAGCAGCAGCAGGAGAGGCGAGATCGGAGGCAGCAGGAGCACTCCAAGGTCAGCCACCCGGCGTGCCAGCTAAGGCCGCGGAGATCCCTGAGATATGGAGGGACTTCTGGGAGCAAAGAGGAGAGGAGCTTCCATTGCCAGTCAGAGCTGGGTTTGGGGTGGCCGGGAAGGCGGAAGAGAGGTTAGATCGTAAAAGCAAGTTCTTGGCCAAGACCACTTTTGATCGGCACTTGTTATTGGAGAGCGATCTGGCAGGGAAAAAGATGAAGGAAGCAAGCCATGGAGTACGCCTGGAGGCTATGGAGATGGAAATCCAGGAACTCAGGGCATTGGTGGCCAGCCAGGCAGCTATCATTGAGAGCCTGAGGCAGCAAGCCCAGGGAAAGGTGGATAAGCCAGAGAGCAGCAGGCAGGGAGAGCAGAGGCAGCCTGGACAGGGATTGCCAGGACAACCATCTGCGGCAGAGCCTCACCAGGAGTCACCTATGGCAAGAGTTATCCTGGATCCAGAGGAGGCGAGAGCCCAGAGACAGACAGAGAGAGAGGCGTTCGAGTTTAGAGCCCCTACTGAGCTCGCGACGCTGCCAGTAGCAGCGACAGACCCAGTCGTACCTTTGGCGATTGAGGAGGGGTTACCGCCATCTAGCAGTGAGCCGGCTCAGGGGTCAACAGAGGGATCCATGGGCATACTCCTTGAGGCAGTGCATACCATGCAGGAGGAGGTGAGTTTGTTTTTACCCGAGCAGAGGATAGAGGAGCCGCTTGAGMAAGAGATGGGGATTGAGGCGGAGGGTGTCATCGAGAGCAGGCTCCAGAGGATGGGCACACCTGAGTATGGACCAGAGGAGATTGAGGAGCAGCCCACGGCAGTGCCAGGAGAGATACTCGAGAGGAGACCTCAGAGGTTGGACACGCCTGAGTACGTCCCAGCGACAGGGGATTTGAGGAGCAGACTGGGATCTTGGGCTACTGGATCTGGGTCTGGGGGACCGGTATCTGGGACAGAGCAGCAAGAGGTCGTTAGTACCGCAACTCCTCGATCAGAGCAGCATGAGGTTGTCAGTACCTTGGTAGGATCTCCTTCATCGCCACCTCCTCAACCCAGGAAGAAGAAGTTCAAAAGGAAGGTAGATCATCTATGTTTCTATTGCAAGAGGGACGTGCATCATGCTCTGGACTGTCTAGAGTTCCTTGAAGATAAGGCAACAGGGAAGGTCTCAGAGGTAGGAGGTAAGATGTATGATAGACAGGGTTGGATAGTAGAGAAGTCCGCAGATGGACTTAGGACTCAATTATATAGGCAAAACCAGGAGGAGTTGAGGAGATAGTGCCGATTTGTCTATATAGGTGGGCGAGTATCTTGTGAGGCATCAGCTTAGGGTCTGTGTGATACCCTTTTAGACTTAGAGGATCTTTTTGATGATTGCTACTAGTGTAGATTTGAACTTTTGTGTTCCTACTGAGTTGGGGTTTTGAGGGTCAGGGTGGTTTAGATGAGGCATGTACATATTTAGGTGGCCTACGCCCTGGCCTTTGAGAGACAGATCTGACATGTATTTTAGGGGTAGTTGTCAGTATGGGTTTGGGGTGACTTGAGTGGAGTGAGCTATGATTTGGAGACATTTTTTGTGTGAGGCCTTTTTATTCCCTGAGTGTATATTATGATGAGGCTTTATTTTAGGGACCATTCATATATGTGACGATCACTTGTCACTCTCACATGTGTGGTTGTACTCTGATGTATGATGAGTTTGTGTGGACAACGTGTGAAAAACATCGTATTTTGCCATAGGTACAGTGAATATGATTGTACGCAAAACTGTTTACTCCTCGGTATACTTGTGCGACCTGCCCACGGGCAGCTGATAGGGAAGAGTATAAGGGGAGGGAGTGCAGCCTGTTTGTGAAAAGTTGTGAAGGAGGATCAAAAAGCTTACTATGTTGATTATTGATTGTTTAAGTTGTGATGAGGA